ATAATGATATTAAGCAAGTCTGAGATTTTAATAGATGTGGAAATATTTCTGCTATCTATAAGAAAATCTTAAGGCTTACCTAATATTTTTTGGAGTTTAAAATATTATGTTAGCCGTTTTTAAAAATTAAACTGTTTAACATCACCAATTACCTCCTTTTTATATATACGTCACACAACCTAGTCGATGGTATCATAAAACTAAAATCAATGTGAAATTTCTCATGGCTTTCAAAAATTTCAAAAATATCCATTCAGATGTATGAGATGTAGTCACTAGTAATATTTTTAACCTATGAGGTAAGCCAGATATCAACGCAAACTTGACAACAAAAAATTTCATTAGTTTTTACCAACCAATGTGGCATAGTCCACTTTAACTATTCGACGATCACCCACACATACCATTGATATTCCCATGTTAGTTCATCGAATATCGCGATAACACTGTTGATATCCTCTGTTAGAACAAGCATCACATTACTCAGTTAATCACTAAACCTACAAGATAGGCATAATTACTCAGAAAATCGAATAGTTTTTAATTAAAATAATTTATAAAATTTTGTAATTATTATAATTATTGATTCCTTTCCTAAAAACTATGATTTGATTTATTAACAATGTAATTATGATTTTATAGAATAATTATAATTACATGATTACAACACTAATTCAAAATTATAATTTTTTTTATAGAGATTGAATAAAAAGTCGAATGTTAATCTTTAAGATGAGTAAGCACTTTAGGTTGAATATCATTAATTGGATTTGAGGTAGAAATAAAACTCTGGTTGGAATGATCATCATTATTGTTTTATCTCAGGCTATTTACTTTAAGAAATATTTATTGAAACAGCTTCTAATATTATTAAAAAGAGATTGTCGGTTATCCAAAAAAATTCTTACCATGTGGATTATCAATTTTTCAAAGAAAATTGCAAGTTTAAAATATTATTAATGGGCCAATAATATCTATTTTAGAGAAATTTCAATGGGTTGAGAGTCCTGCCGGCCTCATGAATTTCAAAATCTTTCTTCCCCAATGAATATAATTTTTATTAATTCTTGTTTTATATTGAAAATTTTTCTGATATTCATAAAAATTATTAAAATGAGAATAATCAAAATTTTTATTTTAGTTACAGTCAGACCCGGTTAAATGCGAAGTGTTTGAACTGAAAAATTTATTTTTTCGCACTTATCCGATTTCTCGCAATTATTAGATTAAATATATTTTTTGTTAATAGTATTATTTTTAATAATATATTATTTACATATATTCTAAGCATTAAAGCTATTAAATTAATATACACATATTGCATTATTTTAAAAAAATTTAAAATGATTAAAAATATTTTTCTCCAATTTAAAAAAAATTTCTTATAAATTTGATAAGTTTAAGATTATCCAAAATATACAAATCAATTCACAAAAAGATTTTTTTTCCAAATTTTATACAATCAATTCTTTTAGAGAAACATTTAATAAAATTATAAAAAATAAATATTGTCTTTGTTACATCTTACAACGTTGTGTATACTTTACAACACTTAAAAGTCTTAAATTTATTCTTGTAAATAATTACAACAAAATTTAATATAGAAAGCTAAGCAACTTAAAAGTTGTAACAAGAAATATAATATTTATACCTTACCTTAAAACATGCTAACTAATAATCCTTTAATTTATGTAAGTAGACCCTGCTAAATAAATCAATCAATGATGAATAAATCAAATGAGTGAATAGTAGATTATCTAATTCTACTAATTGAGAAATATTTTAAATTTCTATTTGAAAACACTTATAAATATTTAATTTATGAATTGAAAAATTAAAATTACACATATTTTATTAAGTATAACTTGCTAAATAAATCAGAATCAATCAATGATGAATAAATCAAATGTATGAAAATGAATAGTAGATAATCCAATTTTACTCACTGAGAAATGTTTTTAATTTATGAATTGAAAAATTAAATTCCTTTATTATATTGAATCAGATAAAATTTTAATAAAATTAATTAATTTGAGATAATTTGTAATGAATGTTTAAACAGGTCTTCTACATAGACTTATTAATGAATCATGGTACTTTAAGTTAGAATATGCTTAGTGGATAAAGATGCCATATCCATTCATAGCTTTGCTTTTATTAGGTAAATAATCAGGTTCGGATATCTCGTTTATACAGGCGCGTACGCAGGAATTTAGTCTGGGGGGGGGGGGGGATAATAAAATTTTTTAAGAAATATTATTGTTTTTTAAAAATATCAAGCATAAATTTATTAGGACTAATAACTATTTCTATTACACAATTTTAAATTTATGTGAATTATAAAAAAATTATATGTAAAGAATCATTTAAATGACCCAAAATAGAAATTTGAATATTTTGAGCCTTTACACAAAAAGTTTCTTGGGAATATTTTATATGTTATATATTTACAATGTAAAATCCAATCTTCGTTGTGATTGAGCTAATTTTTCAATTATCTCATCCTTGCTAGTCGTCAAATGCCTATGAATATTCAAAAGATCCAAACCTTTCAATCTACTTTCAGATGTTGTACCTTTTCAGAGACCTGCAGGCCCGGCCTCAGGCTGGACAGTATTTTAATTTTTTTAAATATATCCGGGCCGGGCCCAAAATTTTTTTAAAAAAACACCCAAGCTGGGCTTGTAAATTTTTTTAAAAAAACTCAGGCCGGGCCGTAAAAAATCTTTAAAAAAAATCCGGGCCGTGCCCTGCAAATGGTATGGGAAGAGTTTATAAACCCTTTTAATACATTTGGAATTTAATCTAAAATGTGTTTGAAATAATGCAGACCATCCATAGCATTTTTTGGGACTATATCAACTATTGTTAATCTTATAAACATATTTATTCAGCTAGTAAGGCATCATAAGATACTTTAACATCTTGATAATAAAAATCTAACAAATATTTTGTTTTCTATCACTATCTGAAAAAGGTTGGGAAGGCTTTTGTGGAAGTAATATTTGCAGATTAATAAGTGCTGCATGATGAATTAAAAATTCATTTATTTGGGTTATAAATGTATCTGTATTTAAGATATACTCTTCTACTGCTCCTATATTAATGTTTTAACGATGAGCTTGCCTTGCTACAAGTCGAGTCTTCATCAACATTAACCTTAATTTCCTTAAGTTCTGATAAAATGCTCTCCGCTATTCTCATCTTCTTAATCAAGTCAATGTCATGTTTTTGAAAAGAAATACTTAAAATAGTTGTATAATTAAATAATACATTCTAATGAGAAATAAAATTTGGAATAAGCATTGAATCCAATAATTTTCTTGCTTCTGAGGAAATATTTCTTTCAGGCCATTGTGATATTTCAGTAATAGCAAATAATTGGCTCATCTAACTCCTTAAAAGCTGTTACTGCTTGATGGCAGAGATTCTATCTCGTTGGACAATGTTGCAATTTCTTTTTCCTGTTGGACAAGAAGTTTCAGAAATAATAATTATTTGACTAGAAATTTGAAAATGGTAGATAAATATTACGCCACTAAAAATTTGAAAGTAATAAGTAAATATTACGCCGGAAAACTTGAAATAGAAATTAATTGATAAAATAACTTAGTAGATAAATGTGATAATAAATATAATTAAATATATATTTAATATGAGATACGAATAAATATTAACAAATATAAATTAATATAAACAATAATATTTTTGAAAAATATATCCGGCATCTGCATTTTGTGGCTTGGAGAGGGAGGGATTTGTCCCCCTGCCCTCCCCCACTGAGTACGCCTATGCGTTTATAACATTTAAGTAATCACTTTCTGCACTATCATGCCTTTCTAGAAAATTAAATAAATCTTATTATTTAAAAAAAAGTAAACTTTCCAAGATCGGTGCTCCCTCTTCCATTGCAGACTGTGTGTAAAATATTTTTTCTTTTTCTAAATCATGCTACAAAAATTATAGATATTTTATTCTAGCATTACAAGGCCATTCTGGCTGTAATTTATGCTCCGTATCTGTGCTAGCCAAATTAATAATGCTGCCAGTGTGTTCGGAAAGCTAATTTTCTTAATTGCTGGTGGTTTATTTATAAGACGAGATGATAATTTCGATTCTAAAAATTAAATTTTCTAATAACAATTTAAGCATAAAATAATAATTACGTGATAATTTGGCCTCAAATAAAAAAAAACTATCAGATTGGGTATTAAGAATTTAAGGGGTTGACGTAAAGTCAAAAATAATTTTTTATTTAGTGCTAAGCTAATCTCCAATTTAAAAATCACCACTTCGCAATTATCCGATAATGATAGCGTTAAGATATAAATGGGACCGCATTTAACCAATAGTTGTCAATTATCCGATTTTCGTTTAAAAAAATATTTTTACATTGTGCCATTGTAGATTTTAACAAAATGGCAGATCTTTTTCCCTTTAAAAATATTTACACTTATACGATATACAATTAAGCGGGTTTGACTATAATAATGAGATATAAAATAAAAAAAACTTTTCCTCTTACAAATTTTTGACTAATTATTTAACATTTTTTAGCAGGGGAGTTCACCCCCTTCAAAATTTAGAAAGATCCCCTTAGCCCACCTCGCAATTTAACAAAATAATGGATCCTCTTAAATATAAGATATTTATAAAATAATTAATAAATAAAAAAATTATAATAAAGGTTATCAATACTTTTAGAAGCGGCAAATTACACAAAAATATTATCCATTGTCCATTCAAGGCTTCAGAATTTTAATATAATAAAAGTTAATTATATCCATACTCTATAAATCTGTTCTATTTTAATGTTATCACACAAAATTTTACAATTAATTATATAAATTAATTAACGCAGTTATAAGATATTAATAAAATTATATTACAATGATATCTAATATTATTTATATTTTTAATTAGTAAATACTAAAATTATATATTATATCCTTATAATATATGCCTATAAAATATTATCTTTTGAATTCAGTATAAATAAGATTTTTATTAATATTTACCTCTCTTTTACTCGAGTTATTAAAAATTAAATAGAAATTTATTATATTGATTATCTAGTCTTTTTTGAATCTCATCTTCACCAAATGTCTTTTTCTACACAGGTAATTTTATTTTACACCTTTTTATTTTTCCGAATTATTTAAAGATTCTTATGTTTAATTGATTATTAATTTTATTTGAAACCATTTAATTGTTAAAATTCTTCTTCATGTCATGAATGCTTATTGTGAATATCTTTATACAAATAATATACACTTTACAAAATAATATTTAATATGTTATATTAATTTGCCATTTAACTATTCTTATGTTTAAAGAAATTTGTGTATTTTAATTATTAACATACCACATTTTTTAATAAAACTTAATTTTCAGTGAAATAATTAAGCAATTTCAAATTATACATTTTACTTGATTATAAAAAAGTATTTAATAATAACATGGTATAAATATTTTAAATATATATATCTTAATCAGTATAATATGTTCATTAGTGTATCTACATTAGTTTTATATCTTTTGAGAGGAAGAATACAAAATTAGAATACCATATATTTATTTGTAAAAAAAATCTCTGTAAATCATGAGTGGGATAACTTTAAATACTTTAAGAATCTTAGGGCAAATATATTCTACAAAAGTTTTCAGTATAAAATAACTTAAATAGATTGATTTAACAAAATATATATTCCACATAAATATTATAATTATAAACTACATTGTTAATATTGACCTCAAATTTATTTTCTTATTGAAAATATAATAAATCAGGGTTAAATAATTGATATATTTTATTTAAATTAAATCAAATTTTTTAAAGGTGGAATTTTATATGGGCAAATAGTTGCCTTTTATCTTATAATCAGTGATCATTAATAAAAAATTGATACCATTTAAATATATATTAACATATTATTTATGATTCAATAAATGTTTGATTTTTAAAATAAATATATAAAATTTATGTTAAATGCTTAGATTTTATAATTCACGATATTTGGAATAATTAGAGTTATAAGTTTTGTTTTTAATTATGCTAAAATTTAAATTGATTTTGGGCAAAAATATTTCTTATTCCTTCATCATGGAATAAAAAGAGATTACTTGGAATTCTGTTAAGATTAAATTTAAATATTATCAAGCAGCCCTGTCTGTACATCTAATATTTTGATGATGCCTGCAAAAATTTGTCAATATATTAACATATTATTTATGATTCAATAAATGTTTGATTTTTAAAATAAATATATAAAATTTATGTTAAATGCTTAGATTTTATAATTCACGATATTTGGAATAATTAGAGTTATAAGTTTTGTTTTTAATTATGCTAAAATTTAAATTGATTTTGGGCAAAAATATTTCTTATTCCTTCATCATGGAATAAAAAGAGATTACTTGGAATTCTGTTAAGATTAAATTTAAATATTATCAAGCAGCCCTGTCTGTACATCTAATATTTTGATGATGCCTGCAAAAATTTGTCAAAAAATGTAAACACCTCTGGGGTCAGAATTTGTACAAGTATCAATTTAGTATTATAAATTTCAGAGGAGAAAGTTTTAAATCTCAATTTTTTTAAGTGCACATTGGGGTTGTTAAAAAACCCGATTAAAATTTTAGCCAAAATAATATTATGTAAGTCTAGAGATTTTGTTCATAGATAGCAGAAAGGTTTGGAACTCTATTTGCAATTATTGAGGCTTACATAAATTATTTTGGGCCAAAATCTCAACAGGTTATTTTAAAAAATTAACCTGAATTTGTCAAAAAATGTAAACACCTCTGGGGTCAGAATTTGTACAAGTATCAATTTATTATTATAAATTTAGGAGAAAGTTTTAAATCTCAATTTTTTTAAGTGCACACTGGGGTTGTTAAAAAACCCGATTAAAATTTTAGCCAAAATAATATTATGTAAGTCTAGAGATTTTGTTCATAGCAGAAAGATTTGGAACTCTATTTGCAATTATTGAGGCTTACATAAATTATTTTGGGCCAAAATCTAAACAGGTTATTTTTAAAAATCAACCTGAGTCAAGCTTTTTAACAACCCTACATAATACACAATTTGATCAACCCCCCTTCCCCCCCCCCCACGAACCAATGCTAAATAAAAGACAAAAAAAGACAAACAGAACATTACTTTAAAAATTCTATTTGTTTACTTGAGCATTTTTTTTTAAACTTTATTATCCAAAAGATCTAACATCAGATAATTGAAATCTAATTTTAACAATCTTTAAATGTGTTTGTAATTTTTTTTTTATCTTCATTTAATTTTTATTTTATTTGACTTAATATTTTTTTGCAATTAAAAATTTTGAGCCAAGCATTGTCCATTCATAGATTGGTCTTGCTCTACCCACGTTTCGATATATTATTATTTTTGTCTAATTTGATCATATAATACGTATAGTAATCCAAAAATTAATAGAGCATGTGACAATATTTTAGGATAGCCTCTTGTAAATATGTGTATGGTTGTATTAGGATATAGAAACCACGGGGATTCCGGAATCTCGATTTCAAATCATTCATGGACGACGAAACTTTTGAACTATTCTAATTTATATAAATTAAATAATACACAAAGATTATTGGTCAAAATGTTTGGGCTTACAGTTAGATGCCGGAATAAACATCCGATAGAACTGCCATCAGTAAATGATAGAAAATCGAGAGATAGTGTTGTTAAACGGCTCGATTTTTAAAATTAAAAACGGCTAACCCAATATTTTAGCCAAAAAAGATATAACGCGAACCCGGAGATTTTGCTCATAAATGGCAGATCGGAACATCTAAACGAAATCTTGGGATTTACTTAATATTTTATGGCTAAAATATTGGGTTAGACATTGTTAAAAATGGATGTCGTTTTCGTTAAACAGTACTTACCATATCCCAATACGACATATATAAAACCGTTTCTCTTTTAATAATTAAAAGTTTCTTTCTCATTTTTTTAAAAAAAACTTATAAATCATCTTATCAATATATATTATATAATATTTTTAAAAATATAATATAATATATAATTCTTTGATACCAAAACAAATCGAAATGTAGGTCGAAATTTTTGTGTAAATATAGAAGGTACTTTGTTTTTTTATTTCTTACAAAACTTCCAAATAATGTAAGAACAAGTTGTTTTTTTTTCAATTTATTTAAGAGTTCCTTTTTAAATTTATTTTAATTTTATTTTCCTCGTTGATAAATGAAAGCAATATAATATTGGACAAATATGGTATTAGTTTAGATTAATTAGATCGCAACCAACTCACAATGTTATTATTTATTAGTATAAAAAACTTTTTTTTTCAATTTTTTTATATTACATCTTATGGAAAAGATTCCTAATTTTTATCACAATCATATCTCATTTTTTTTAAAATATTTAAATTTCTTTATTAATTAAGCATCAAATTTAGAACACTAATATTAAAACACTATAAAATTAAAACTACAATTTCATAATTGTGTTCACAAAAAGGAACCATAATTATATCTAAAAATTTTTTGAATATTAAAAACCTTGATTTTTGGGCTCTGTCCAAGTATGCAAATAAAAATTTCCAAGGTTTTACAACTTTCAAGACTTTCTTCTTCCATTAAAATATTCAATATGTTTGACTGGGATGAAATGTTTATTTATGATCAATATTTGATAACTATTGAACGTAGAGTGTTGAATACCCGTGAATCTATCAAAGAATTACTAGCACAGAAATAAATTTAATGTAACTAAGTATATTTTTTTTCGAATAATGTAACTAAGTATTTATTTTTTCGAATAGCATCTTAAAAAATAATAACAATATTAAATCGAATCAGAGGCCCTATAATCTTGAAGCATTTTAAACATCTGTTCCAGAAACTTGGCCATTCGCCTTGGGATTATTTTTTTGATTGGCCGAACAAATGGAATTCTCATGATATGAATTTTGGATCGTTATCCGAAATAATTTGCCTTGGTACCCCAAATCTTGCATACCACCCCGTTAACCTTCTTATTATGTCGGAGTGGTGATCTTCAAACTAGCTACCTCCATTTATTTTGAACACGAAGCAACTTAAGCTAACAAAACGAAATTCAAATGGTCCTGCTAAGTCTATATATAATTTCCAAGGTTCATGGCTTACATTCCACAGAGGTACTTGAGTTATTTTAGGCCTGTGTGTCTTACACCCGGCACAACCAATAATATACTGCTCCATATTCTCAAAACCCGGTCACCATCTCTATCCGCTGTTAGTCATTCCGTCGATTAAAATAATTTATTAGATCAAGCTCACAACTTTTTGTCCTTCAACTTTGTTGAATTTGACTAGTAAACGTTTATTTTACCTTAATCTATCCTCTGACAACATCTGTTATCTAGATCAATGAGACAAATATGGTAGGTTAACATCGATTTGTTGCATCTTCCTTGATCGGCAATCTAAATAAAATGTCAGCTATGACATTCTCCCTGCTGACCCTACAGGTAATATCAAAATCGTTTTGATTCATCTTCCAAGCCCCACCTTTTTAATTAACATTGGGTCTTCCAACGGAAATGATAAGATCCTCATATTTAGGATTATTAAGGAAGTTTGCGAGAAAACCTACAAGACCACACAAAATGTTTATGGATTTTAATATTAAAATGGCCGAAGGAGATCTTTTTAGTGGAATTTGTTAATAAACTTGCATCAATGGGTTTAATGTAATTATGGGTAGAGATGTCACTGATATATTGAGGGATCAAATAATGTCTGGCATGGATTTATCTAATCTCGAAAGGGATCTTTCTTAGAGGGTTTAGATAAAGATGGGAAATATATTACCATCGAATTTATTCTCAATCTAGCGCTTTACGTCGGATTTAGAAAAGGAAAAAGATAAATAATAAAGAATAAAATAGGTCGGAGCAAGTTCTCCAATATATATATAGCAATGTATAATAAAAATCATAACGAAAAAAATAAACAGATTCTGATTGGCCGATACAAAATGTTTTTTTTGTCAACATAGAATATATAATTTATTCAAAGAATATTATAAATTTACATAAATATAATTCAAACCTTTAGGATCATTTAGACGTTAATCTCAAAT